CATTCCTGAGGGATCTCTTCAAGTCAAGGACTCTGCCAAGCACATTACATACGTTTTTCCACTCATCCTTACAATACTTTTCCAGATCACCACTAGTAACAAAGGAGACTGGACTGAGATAGAGGCAAAGGACTATAGTTAGCCATGCCAAGAATGTATCACTGAAAAGCAGATACTAACTACAGAAATCTCCATACAAGCAACAAAAGCTTTCCACTATAAGTGCATGGAAACCGCAGCAACACACACACACACACACACACACACACACACACACCCCAAAATAAAAAAAGCATGAGAAGGGAAGACAAGGAAACAAAATGCCTCCAAAAATTCCTAACTTCCCCAAAACCTATCCATGGGCTGCTGAGAGGAAGGACATGAAAAGCCACACAGCTGAATGCTTTGAAATGATAAAAGAGGAGATAAAACAGATCAGTAAGGTGATTGGTAAGCACAAAGAAGATATAACTAAATAGATAATAGACTTAATAAACAAAACAAATAAGTTAACAGAAGATACTAATAAAATCTGAGCTAAAACAATGATACAAGACATAAATGAGCAGTGTAGCAAAGAAACAGAGTCCATGAAAAGGTACCAGACAGAAATCCAGGAGATTAAAAATTCAGTTGAAAGTATGGGAAACAGAAGTGACCAGTATAAAGACAGAGTGTCAGAACCAGGTGATAGTGCTGACATCAATTACTCTTCAAAACAAGAGAAAACGAAAAGTGGGTCCAACAGCTTCTAGATGATGCAAAGACAAACCGAAGAAAACAATCAGGAGATAGAATACATGGCATAAAAAACCTATTTACTGAAATAACGGCAGAAAACTTTTCAAAATAGAAGGTTACCAAAAGACTGGGGGTGGGGTCACGGGTGAAGGGATGAAGCATGTATTTAAATGGGTAGTGTACATGTGTGAACTCCCTCACGAAGAATGTCAGCACTGTGTACTATACACGTGCACTAATAAAAACAAAAATCTAACAACAACAACAAAACTGTTTTAACTCAGAGCTGTCTTTCTTGTAAGAGCTCCCTGATTCTTTCTTTCTCTCACAGAACCTGGAACACATTTCCATTTTGGCACTTGCTAATATGCATTTTAATTATTTATTTACACATCTATATCTCCAAACTGTAAGGTCCTCTGGGGCAGGGTCTCCATCTTTTTCATTTTGGGGTCTTCAATACCTATAGCAGTACTTGGCCAAACTAAATTAGCACATACGTTTAGGACACTTGGTAATTACTTGTTGGGAGGATGAAAAAATGAAGAAGTGAAAGTTATTATGATAATAAATATATATTACTGTCCTTTGCTTACCCAGTCAATACAGCCATAAAATGGAATATTCTGATTGATTTAAGCTAAATTATGTAGTGCCTTATAGTTTGGGCAAGGCCAATCCTAGTCATTGTCTGACCAACAAAGTAAGAGCATGGCTGCTAATGAATATACAAGATGTCCAAAGAGGCCAGTATGTCGCCTGGAGGTGGAGCAGGGTTTCTCAGGAAACATGGCCGAGGCTTCCGCAAAGTCTCACCTATTGTTCATTTGTATCGTCTAAATCACAGCCTTAAAAGACCTCTCAGGGTAAGCAGCTTCCCCATATTTCCTTCCTTAGTTCGTGGCAGGAATAAAGCTCTGGATTAAGAATCAAAAGCTCCTGATTTCTGGTCTTGGCTCTGTCAAGACTCAGATACTCAGGTCAGGATTCATGGCCCTTGGTTTTCTTAATTATAAATATAAATAACCATGTATGTCCTTACAGCATAGTCAAGAAGGTCAAATGAAATCATCAGGATGGAAGTGCTTTCAAAAGTTATGCAACATATTTAGAAAGAACGCTTTTTAATCATCACCTTCAGTGCTCATTTCTAAATTTTCTTTATCATGAGAGGATTAACAAGAAAGCCAGTTTCCCTTTGTTTACCCCACTCCAGCCAGCCTTGTTTTTAATTTCTCATTTTTGGTATATTAATCACAATGCTTTTAGCTAAAGGAATGGACAAGCATAGCCCAGTGGCTTCAGCAGCAGGACAATTTACTCTCCCATCATAGGGAGCCCACAGATAAAAGGGGTTCCAGGTGCAGCAGGTCAGGCCTACGCTTGTACATCTTTTGGCTCTGACCCCTCCTCAGTGCTGTTCTCATCCTCAACCTTGCAGCTAGATGGCCACTGTCATTCCAGGAATCACAGGCAGAAAGGGACTATATGCTCACGTGTGTCTCTGGAATAGAAACCTCTCAAGAAAAATTCTCATATTTTAGCGGCTAGACCTGGCCATGGTGCATCCTTATAACGATCTGTGGCAAAGGTTGGGGTGGGATTTGTGTGGTTTGTTGAGAGTACTCGGGATTTACTTTTGAGCTAGGGATAGGGTTATTTTCTACATGGCCACATGGTAGGAAATTATCTAAAAGTGCAGGAGCCGAGTGCTAAGAGCACAGGTGAGCGAATACTGGACAGAAAACCAGCAGGTTCTGTCAGTGCCCTGCTCATATTGCCAGGCCCCATGATTGAGTACACATCACTGACTTCTGACTTCCAGCACCTGCATTTCTTTACTTGCAAGTTTTCACTGATCTTTGGAGCCTGCTTGCTGCCCAGGCACTCAGCCAGAAATATTCCAGGATTAATGTCCCCACCTTAGGAACAGTCCCTAATCAATGACTGATGGGAGCTCAACATCCCCCTGGGTACGAATGCCCCAATTTCCCCATTTCTCGGGTGATATGGGTGTTTGCTCTGTACCGGCTTCCAGAATTTTCCCCAGCAGAATCAAGATCCGGCTGCCCACCAGAGTTGGTTGACTACACACACTTGAACCTTCCTTTTCCTGTCCCACTTTTCCAGACCATTATGGTATTTCCTTGACTTCTTTTGTCTTCCCCTCTCAGAGTTGGCTTCTTGGGAAATATCAAACAAAGATGCTCTGTACCATATGTCAAACTCCTGCCTGAGCCCAGAGACTTTGTGTGTAATGTTCCCATCTGCTCTGGAGGTGCTTCTCTTTCTTCTCGAAGGCTGTGTGCTCACTCTCTCTTCACCTTTCAGTGGAAATGACAGTTTCTCTGGGACGCTTTCTTACCCTCCCTGTCACACCTAATGCTATGCTCCTAGTGATGGCTCTCTTCTGCTCAGCCATGCTTACAATGGTTGTAACTTAATTGCGTGATTTTTTTTGCTTTTCATCTTTAACCCAGTTACACTGTGAGCTGCCTAAGGGTTTGGACAGCATTTTTGTCTCAGCCCCATACGGCTGGAATCTAGTACAACCCCTGGCACAAAATAGAGGGTTAACAGAAGATGAGGGCCCTTCACATCAAAGCTTTGGATGAAAAAGACCTTTTTATCCATATGAACTCCATATTATTTCTTGTGTCAAATTATAACTCTTATCTATAGGAAAGATGCCCATTGTTTAATAGAGAGTATGTATAAAGGATGTCATTTTAACTACCTTTTAGTTTTTAAATAGAAACAGGATTCCACTGTAAACCCACAATTTCTTCATTTCTTCATTCAAAGCCCGAGCAGAAGTAGAGAAAAACTGAGAACCTGGAATAGTCTCCATTAATATATTATCTCTAATGGATTCTGAAAAACAGTTCATGACAGATCATTCTAGGATCTTGCCAGGTACAGTGCCTCCTCTCAGCTATATGACTTTCACACTGAGATTTTAGCTTTCATTAAAGAAACAAGGAATAATCTGATTAAATCAATGCACTAAGTACACACATGGGAGAAATTTCTTTTAGTGATGAAGCAGGGTAAGTACAAATAAACACTTGGGAACGCTTGCTATCTAGTTGCTAGGCAGGCTTTTCTCGAAAGTCCCTAAATGACATCCTTCTGTCACTAGGGGATGATTCCAGGTTTGTGGTGCTTTGGGCTTGTGTAATTTAGAATGTCTTTGAGAAAAAATTATAAAATCCCCCACCCCAAAAACAAATATTTGCAAGAGGCCCACACAAGTGAGGGACTCTGAAGTTTAGTTTAATCTTCATTATTTTCACAGTAAATCAGCATCTGACCTTGACTCTGAAACTACTTCCCTCCTTCCGCATACCCGAACAGGTCTGTTCTGACCTCTATGACTTGTTTACATTGCTTTCTTACTTAAAGCTCTCCCCTCTTTCTACTTTTTCAATCCTTAGACCACATTATTTTTTTTGAAACTTTGGCTCCATAATGGCTTTTCTGATTGTTTGTAGCAAAAAAGATCTTCCTTCCCCCAAAGGCCTACAGTACCTACCCAATAGGTACCAGGCCCAGGATCGTGTGTCATGAGTTACTTACTCTAGTTGAGGTATCTATACTATACTATGCCTACATTTTCATTCAGGTTCATCCCATGAACACTTAACACAGGAAGGGAGGAAAAGCACGGGTACTATAGAAGCAAAATGATGGGGTTTGGAGCGGGAAGGGCCTTCAGTGAGTCACTTCTCTAATTTCCCACTGATTAAGTAAGCATAATGATCTTTATTTCACATTATCATTAGGATTAAATTAAAGCATTTATGCATTCATCAAGTATTCATTTACTTCTTATGGGGCCATTTTTGGCAGCAGAGACTCAGAATAAATTTGGATGAGAAACACTATTGAGGGTTCTCACAATTGAGCTGAGAGATGGAAATTTGTAATGGGACTCAGTAAAGCTGTAATAGACGTCGGAGTAGGCACGGAGCCAGACATGTGGTAGGTGCTCAATAAATAGTTGCTAAATAAATGACTGACATAATGAGAAGACTTGGAAGAGAAAATTATTAATTTTGCAAAAGCAAGTAATTTTTCAGATTTGCAAGATCATGCTAACATAATATAATGGCTGTGACAGTGCTTAGGATGTTGTAAAATGGTATATACTAGAGAAAATCAAGTCAATAGGAAGGGGAAAGCAAAGATTAGAGATAGAGCAAAGAAAAAGAGGAGGATGGATGAGCAAGGAGGATCAAGGGATGTCTTCAACTCACCTGGCCAAGAGTACACTCCATGCCACCTAGGAAGTCGGCCTCCTTCAGTCCATTGTGGTTGCTGCTAATGTCATGGACTTCAAACCGCAGGCGCTGTACTTCTTCAAAGTAAAAGTCCACAGTGAACAGTTTTGAGTACACTGGGTTTATGCAGGTGCGAATCACTTCTGTCCTGTCAACCTGCCAGGAGAAGGAGAAAATCCATCAGGGGTTAAGAATTTCATTATTACCCTTTAAGGAAATTAATCTCTTCCACACCATAAACGGACTCACTACATAAAGTCACCAGGGCTGGCAGTTTCAAGTCTACAAGACTATCTTCAGAGAATGAGACAAGGGTCAAGAAGGCAACTTTTCTCAGACATACTAAGAAATTCAAGTTTCGTTTTTGAAGATTTAGTACATGTTATATTATTAGATGATAGGCAAGATGGATTTATTATTAGTGGCTTTCTCAAAACTTGGTGCAGGAGAATATGAGGGTACATCTAGGCTCGGGAGCACAGAAATCAATTAATGATGCCTGATAGACATAGTAATGGAAGACAACTCTATTCTAATAGTTTACTGACTCACAATTACCATCATAATAAAGTAGAAAGACCATGAGTGGTAATGAAAATAACACTGCTCTTAGTTTAAATATGCCCTTTATTAGGTGTAAAACATGCATTCACTCATTTCCATTCCTTGGGCCTCAATCTCCTCCTCATCAAAATGAAAATTAGAAGGTTAGAGGATGAAAAGTCACTTTGTGTATTAACGTTCTATGAGTTATGGCCCTCTTTGCCTCCTGTGACAATCCTGCACCCATTCTTCTCCAAGATCCATATCTGCCATTTCTGTGACCCAGGAGGCTGAACTCTGCACTGAATTTCCTAGGCTCTCATTTCCTCTGAGTTCTGGTGGGAATCAGCGAGAGAGAGGACTTGGAAGAAGATGAGAAAGTGGGAGAGTAGAGAGATATGGGTGTTCTTCGACACACACAGATTCTAGCTGGCTCACAGTGAGAGCTTTTGCTGAGGCTGGGTAGCACAGTTTCTCTTTCCCTGCCTGGATCCTCAGAATGAGAGGTGGTGATGGCTCTCTGTTGCTGTTGTCTCTGGTATCTTAGATGTTTCTTTCCTTTGTTGGTTCCTTTAGCCCTGTGAATGTCCCTGGGACTAGTTCCTGTTTAAAGAGCTATCTCTCTAGGCTAAACTCTCTGGGTATGCCATCTGCTTTGTGCCAGGATCCTTGCCACTAAGGTTCTTTACACACAAAACCATTTGTATTCTGGGAAAGTTAAAGGACTGAGTGATGGATAATCCAAGATCCTATATCATCTTTCAACTGGAGATACCCATCCTTCATATTTTACAAACCAACTGTAACTCATTTATTCTGTAGACTTTCAAATAGAAATATTTATTAGCTATATGTCATATATCATCCACATATCATTTGCTAGTACAAACGAAGCCATTTAAGACACGATTATATGAGTAAATGGAAAGAGTTTCTCAATAAAAAGACAGTAGTTCTTGATACATCATGCATGCCTATGTGTGTGGCACAGAAAATACGATGCTGGCTCCAGGCTCCTCTGACGCTATTAAATGTATGTAATGCTCCAATCCTGGCACTGACCATTCCCATTCCTACATATAAGGCTCTGGGTGAGAAAACTGTCCTTGGCAGCAACACCACCTGCCATGCTGAGGGGGGCAATCCAGGCTTCAAGGAGAAGGAGAATATAGTTCTTGTTTTGTTCCTGTCCAACAGAAAGGCAGACAAGAAACCAATCTCTAGCTCACTGCTGATTAGGATTGTACAAGTTACTGTGCAAATCAGTGGTTCTTTGGCTACACCAGTTTCCCACGATGATCCAGATTCTGCTTTAGCTGAACTGTCTAGTCATATACCTTTAGGGATCATGGGGGACAGGACAGATTATGGCACTAGCTGACTGTGTGAGTATAAGGATTTACTGTAATGATGTGATTTTTTTCAGAGGCCATAGTTTTGAATAATGGTATAATTCAGAGGTCACAAACTTACTGTTTAGAAATATAAGCTGACTTTTCTTTCTCTTATTCAAAATACTTTTTTCTTACTTTGCCAACTATACATGAGGGCTGCTTCTACTGTCCTCCTTCAGAAGCAAATTAGAGTATCTGGCAGCTTTGGGCCATGTTCACACATGGCAACCCTGAAGACTGCTCCATTCAGACAGAATATCCAATCTCCAGTTCTTACAGTCTCTTCTTCCTCACTGAACCTCCCTCATGGCCTCTGGCAGCATTTTTCCAACATATGGTCCAAAGGCATGGACTAATGAGTCATATAATAAGAGATTCAATTATATTCATGTGATACTTTTTGGGAGAGTATTTCAAAGTAACCCTTTAAGAAGTAGTAAGTGGATTTGACCTGCTCAGGACACAGAAAATATATCTATCTGTGGCTGGAAAAAGAGTGCTCTGGGAAGTTTCAGATGGAAAAGCCTTGGAGATAGAAACTCTATAGTCTTTATGGCTCTGCTTTAACCACCGCAAATGACATAAATTGGCAATGTCACCAACCCTGCTGTTACTCTTCCCACCTTTCGACTGTGAAATGCCATGCCTACTAAGACATGAAGTTCACGTTGGCATCAAGCCATATACCTCCAACATGCTAGCAAGGTAAGATGCCAGAATTTACTTGAAGCGACTGTGGGCATGGGCTCACATGTGTGCACGCACATGTATTTTAGGGAAATGACAAGATTAAAAGAAATTGAGAAATACACATTTGTATTAGCAAGATAGGCAATTTCAAAAGATAATTTTGGGCTAGTAAGAACCCCAAGAGTAAAAGTGCTCAGGGAAAGAAAAAAGAAGTAAAGATAAGAAAGTGCTTGTCATGCTAAATGCATGAGATGTTTCAAAATGTTCTATATTCACAGTCATTATGGGAGAGGCATTATCTTTACTGGAGGCTGAGGCCAGGTTTAACCTGACTAACAGGGCCTAGAGGAATATGTGTTTCTCACTTAGAGGTGTACAGGTGAGGGTGGTTGTTTCCAAGATCGTCCACTCCCTGGTACTACCAGCTACAGAACCAACCAGGAGAGATTTCTTTAAAATTCAGATTCCTACTCTGGTAATTTTGATTCAGTGAGAATAGAGTAGGATTCAGAAATCTGTAGCTTACAAAATGTCCAGGTAGGGAGTGGTGGAACATGCTTATGATCCTAGCACATAGGAGGCTAAGGCAGGGGATTGCCAAAAGTTCAAGATTGGACTGGATATATAGTGAGTTCAAGGACAGCCTGAACTGCATAGTGAGATCCTGTCTCAAAAAAGAAAAAAAAAATGTCCAGGCAATTCTGATGTGGGATGTCAGTCTTGTGGAAATAGAGAGACAGAAAGTCTCTCATTTTTTGCTATGTGGGGTTTTTTTGTTTTATGAAGTTTAATCACACTGACCCTCTGTTACATAGTATGCAAAAAAAAAAAAAAAAGAATGCTTGTGCTCTTCCTTCTGGTCATAATCCCTGATATTCCATTGCTTCATGGTTTAAAGAGTGCACATTTTTAAAAAATTTGATTCTTATACTAATCATGTGATGAAGCTTTATACTCTTTCATATATGAAAAAAATTTAAGGTCAGACAGCACAAGTTACTGATTGTCAGAGTGGCACTTGAACTCAGTCTCTGACCCCAAAGCCTGGGTTACTTTCCTTAATTTAGGTTTATTCATGTGTATCCCTAGGAAGCAAAGAAGAATGTAGGTAGGTCTTGATGTGACAGTGATAGACTCAAGACTGAATATTATATGTGATGAGATACTCTTTAAAACTGACATACAATTGATACATAAAACGCCACATCTTTTAAAAGCATGCAATTCAATATATTTTGATACATACATATATTTTCTTGTGAAACTATTAACACAATCAAGTGAACATACCCATAATCCCTAAAGCAATGATGGTGAATCTTTTAGAGATGAGTGCCCAAGGTGCTACCCAAAACCCCATCTATTTATCACAAAGTGCCAACAATGAAGTTCAACCTGAATACTGAAGTTTTAGTTTAGAAAAAACAACTCATACAATACCATCTTTTGTCTTAAAAGTGAAACAACACGAATGCTGTAGGTTCACCACCACTATCCTAAAGTTTCCCGATTTTTTCTCTCCCACCTCCCCATCCTCCAGAAACTGTTATACTGATTTGTCTTCTGTTATTCTAGATTAGTTTGTATTCGCTATAATATTATATATGTGGTATACATCATGGATGTCTAGCATTTTGGCTTGCTTGGTCCACCCTGAATGAGAAGAAATTATCTTGGGCTGTATAAAAATATACAATATAGTTAATGTATATAGATAACAAGACCTCCTTTTTATATTTTAATTTATTAAATTATTTTACAAAATAATAAAGCTACATTTTAATAGTTAAATAAGAAAACTGTCAGCTGAGTATCCATAAGCATCTGTCTTCTCAGGCACACACGTGTAGGCAGACTGAAGTACTACTATCTGTATTTGCTTGTTTTACTCCCCATGTCTCATAGTGGCTGATGATTGATTCACTGGAGTTTCACTTCAACTGGCTGTGTGTGATGCATGCAGGAGGTGGAGTAAGCTCTGCCCTGGGCCCTCTTCTACACAGTGTTCCTCTGTCGCTCGGTCGCTCACTCATATGAGCACCACACAGTCAAGTCATGAACAAGATCGCTAAAAATCACATGAGAAGTTGAAAGTTAACAATCTTGTGGGGGCAGCATTACTAGCTGTCTAGGGATGCATGGGTTTTGGTTTGGATACACCTGTACACTACATGTACCTTTCTTTGTCTTTTTTTTCTTTCATTAAGCATAAGTATTTACAGACCCTCATTGCTGTCATATCAATTGGTTTGCCTTTTATTGCTGAGTAACAAGTATTCTATGGATGGAAATTCTGATTGTTTCCAATTTTGGCTTTTACACATAAAGCTGCCATACATGTTCATTTACTAGACATGTATGGACCTATATGCCCTTTTCTCTTGGATAAATACCTAGGAGTAAAGTAGCTATGCATTTAACTTCTAATAACTATGTGGTGGTATCACTGTGGTTTATTAGAGATAAAATAGGGCTGCATATTTCCCACAGAAACTGCATTGTGTGGGGGACAAGGTTGACGTGCCACCA